TAATTCTTGCATTGTGCAGATTCAGTTTTCTGTTGTCTTGAAAAAATAGGCATGCCTTGACTGAAGTACAGGCCCTCCCATGTCTGTATATGCTCTGTATTGAAAATGCAAATAGGAATTTTGCATAGCAGAGATAACATTGGTTTACAAGACTGTATGCGATTGAATTTTAAAGATTTATTTATACATACATACAGAACTGGGGTACAAGCCAGAGGTGCAGGGGTGAGAAGATTCACCAGAGACAGAGTGGGGAGCAGAACAGGCAGATGTGCTGAAATACACCGCTGAGGGGAGCAGCAGGCAGGTCAGAAGAGGCTTGCCACGCCAGGTGGGTCAGCTCCCTGGCTAGGGATTAAACTTGGGTGGCAGTGGCTTCCAGATAGCTTCATAGTGCTGCGCTTTAATCCAGTGCACCACCAGGGAGGCCCCACGCTATGTGAAAGGCATAGGACCCACATGTCCTCGGTGTGTGTCATCACACCGTCCTTCCATCAAGGCTCCTCAGCCCCATCATAGTCCATAGTGTCCCTTACCTTCTTTGTTTTTCCTCCCTCCCCCCCTTAGCCTCAGTTCCATAGTTAGGTTTCTAGGGTTCCTTATTGGTTTGTTTTTTCTTACTCATTGCTTTGTTTCCCACTCACATTCCACAGTAACTGAAGCCATCCGGTATTTGCATTACCCACTGCAGTCCCATGCTGAGTAGTATTCCACTGTGCATATGTACACCGCATTTTCTAGTCTACTTCTGTATTGTCGGGCCCTTAGGTTGTTTCCACAACTGGACTGTTGTTAACTGATGTTGCAGTGGACATGGGAGCGCACATAGCTCTTAGAATTCGTGGCTTTGCTTTTCTCACATACTGAGCAGCAGACCAGGTGGGTCATAGGGGTTGTTTATTTTTAATATTTTGAGAGGTTTCCATTGGCACTGGACAGTTCCTCACCTCCACTTAAAGTACCAGGGTTCTCTTTTTTCTACATCTTCACCAACAGCTGTTGCTTCTGGTCTTTTTTGTATGGGCCATTCTCACAGGTGTGAGATGGTATCTCATTGTGCTTGTGCTTTGCATTTCCCTGATGTTAAGTGAAAATGGGCAGCTTTTCACGTGCCATCTTTGAAGAAGTGTCTATTTAGTTCTGTCCATTTTTTGTTTTCTCCTTTTTGAATTGTTTGAATTCTTTATTTGGTCAGCCTTTTTCTTAAAGATATACTTATGTACATACAAGAGCTGGGATGTAGGCCAGAAGTGGTGGGAGGGTGAGAGGGTTACCAGAGACAGTGGGGTGCAGAACAGGTAGATCTACTGCAACACTGCTGAGGGGAACAGCGGGGAGACAGGAGAAGTCTGCTGTGCCCTGGGGGTCCCTCTTTGGCTGGGGATTGAGCATACAGTGCAGGGGCTGTGACAGCTTCACAGTGCTGAAGCTTAACCCCTTGTGCCACTGGGGAGGCCCCTAGAATGCTTTGTCAGCTATGATGTGCAAGTATTTTCTCCCATTGAGAAGGGAAAACATGGTTTTACTGAGATTTCCTGTCACTGTGCAGAAACTTTTCAGTTAAATGTAGTCCTGCTTGTTTATATTTACTTTGTTGTTCTTGCCATTGGAGATGAACCCACAAAGACATCTGTGGGACCAATGCCATGGAGTATTTTGCCAATCCCCCCCCCCCCAGTGTATTTTATGGTTTGGGGCCTTACATCCATGGTGTTCATTAATTTTGAGTGAGTTTTTATGAAAGGTGAGGTGGCAGACAGGCTGGTTTCCACCCTCTGTGTCTGTTCCAGCTCTGAATCCCACAGCTTTGTAGTACAAAGTCTGGACTGTGCTGCCATCAAGCTTCCTCTTTTCTGTTAGCGTTGTTTTGGCTGTGCACGGTCTTAGCGGTTTCATATGAATTTCAGTTTTTTACTTCTGTTTCTTTGAAGAATAGAGCCTATAATAGAGATTGCATTGAATCCATATATTGCTTTGGGTAAGATGGCCATTATAACATTGTTAATTAGAAGGGTGATTGTTCTTGAATACAGGAAGAAGTAGTAAAGCATGTAAAAAGAAAGGAAGGAACTTTGGGCTACCATGTTAGAAATGTTCAGATATCAGTAGTGAATCTGGGGAAGTGATGATTAAAAACATCACTGAGATATTTTTATCAGACATACTAGAAACTTACAGTGTATGTGGGCTAATTCTAAAAGCGATTATTTTGTGAAACTCCATTTATCCTGACGGTATTACCCTTGCTTGATACATTCTTGGAATTCTCTTTCAGAGCTCTCTTCAAGGGCATGAGATGAGGTGAGGAAGATAACTGAGTAATTTTTTTTTTAAGGTTTATTTATGCATACAGAACCTGGGTAAGGCTGGAGGTGCAGGGGGTGAGAGGATTCACCAGAGATAGAGTGGGGAACAGAACAGATAGAATGAGCAAGTACACTGCTGAGGGGGGCAGCTGGGGGTGGGGGGGTCAGGAGAGGTCTGCTGCACCCTGTGGGTCACCTTCCTGGCCAGGGATCGAACCCACACTGAAGCACTGCAGCTCATCTGCAGTACTGTCCCTTAACCCATTGTAAGAAATAGTGAAAATACTCCTCTCTCCCCAAAATTAAAGATGCCAAAAAATATTTTGGGCCAAGGTGGTATTATTGGAGAAAGTGAAAGGCTAACCAAAATTAAGTCTTCTTTTGGCTTTTGACCTGTGATTTAGGGCAGCAGAGGTTCTAGGTAGGCATGCTAGAAGACATTTTGCTAAATTTGGGGGGAAAAAAAAAGGTCACCATCAGGTATTTTACCTGAGTGTTTCCACCTAAAACTGGAAAGTTAAACTTGTTTTCTCTGATGTGTAACTCAGTTTTATTTCCTTTAATTCTTATTTCTGACAACTCCTTTCTGCTCTTGTCCCTGACTCATATCCTGTCAGCAACCTTTCTCCAACGTCTCATTTTCTGACATACTTATGTAAATTCAGAAACTCTGTAGTTCATTTTAAATCATCAGCATCTAATTTTAATGTCCAGGTTTGGTGGGTCTTAGCCAACACCAGGTCGGGCTACTCTGGCCCATACCACTTGTCCTGGTGTGTGTGTAGATAAAGCACATCAGCGAGTTTTAATACTGGCTGGGGTAAAATATCCCCAAAGGTAAATATGAACTATAAATAACATGTTACTTTTTTTTTTTATTAAAAAGTTTATTTTTACATCATTTTGCACATTTTTTTTTCATCTCAATTGTAATCCCCACGGGTTTCCCATCACCAAATCACCCCTGTGCCACCACCATAGTCCCGTGCATTTCCCTCCCTTCCCCCCACCCCGTTTTTGGTCCCATTCCCCACTCCACCCCCACAGAATGTCTCTGGTCTATGGTTGTTCATTATTTTTGTTATTTTCTCGCCTGGTCCATTATACTCCTGCTATGAGTGAAACCATCCGGTATTTTTCTTTCTCTTTCTGGCTTATCTCACTAAGCATGATCTTTTCCAGCTCCATCCAAGTTGCTGCAAAAGACATGTGTTTCTCTTTTTTGGTTGCTGAGTAATATTCCATTGTATATATGTACCACATCTTTCTAATCCAGTCATCTACTTTTGGGCATTTGGGCTGCTTCCAAATAACATGTTACTTTTAAAAAAGAAATATATGATGAGACACAGCTCACTTAAATTTCACCTATTTAAAGTGTGCAGTTCACTTGTTTTTGCTGTATTCACAGTTTTGGAAATATCACCACTATATAATACCAGAGAATCTCATCATTCCCAGAAGAAGCCGACACTATTAACACTTCCTGTTCCTCCTTCTCCCCACCGCTGACAAGCACTAATCTACTTTCTACCTCTGAATTTTCCTGTGTGCCCATTTCACATAAATAGAACTATTATACATGGTCTTTCATAGTTGACTTCTTTCACTTAGCGTGTTTTTGACGTTTACTGATCTTGCCGCAGACACCATTGCTTCATTCCTTCTTGGGCCAAATAACGCCCAGTGTGTAAATGCAGCCTCACGGCATAGCGATGGGGATACGCTGACAAGTGCTTCCAAGTGCTTCCTTAGGCAGTTCGTCACTGTGCACGTCGTGGCATTACAAAGATCTGCATGGGGTTGCACACCTAGGCTGTGCCGTGTGGCCTGTGTGGACCACCCTTGAGTGCACAGGCCCTGTTGACGGAAGCCGCGCGTTGTTGACTGTGTGTCTGGAAATAGAATTGCTGAATCATATGATACTCTGTGTTTAACTTTTAGAAACTGCCAAACGATTTCCCCAAGGGACGGTGCCATTCTGCATGCCCATCAGTAGTACGTGAGGGCGCAGTGTCTCTACGTTTTGGTCGATACGTGTTATTGTTGAGCGTTTTGATGATTGCCATCCCCGTGGCTGTGAAAGTGATATCTCACTGTGGTTTAACGTGCATTTCCCCTAATAACTAATGAGGGAACTAAGGGTGTTGATCACCTTTTCAGGTGCATATTGGCCATGTATATATATCCTCTTTGGTAGATATCCGTAAAGCTAAGTATCTGGCAGGCTGCTGTTTAGAACACCATTGTTTAGAGTAATTATCTGAGCTGCGAGTTGAGCTTCATTAAAATATTTTCATGTATTCTTAAAAGGTTTATTTTAGAGAACTGATCTAGATACAGCTTTCCCCTACTAAATGATATTTTGTATCATGGCCTGTAATATCTATGAAGTCAGTTTGTCCCACTCTGACAAGTATTGACAGACAAATAAAAAGTTTAGATCCTGTTTAGTCATATTTTTATTGTAAATTGACTGTATCACTTCACTCAAAGAATGAAGTGATTGGCTTATCTAAATTTTTTTTATGTTCTACATACTCTGAGAATAGTAGCTGGCTTTTAGCTCAGGGAAAGATGATAAAGCAAGATGATGCCGACCTGGCAGCTGAAGCTGGGAGTAGTCCTGTGCAACTGGCCTGTGCCAGTTGTGGGCAGGTGCCTGAAGTCATTCTTCTCACCTTCTCTTCCCAGCGCGGTACCATGCGACGACGCTATGAAGACGATGGCATTTCGGATGATGAAATTGAAGGGAAAAGAACTTTTGATCTGGAAGAAAAACTCCACACCAACAAATATAATGCAAATTTTGTTACTTTTATGGAGGGAAAAGGTCAGTATTACCTTGGTTAAAACCTGTAGCACTTTGATATTGCCAGCTGTGGGCTCTGGGAATGTGGGCACAGCATCTGTGCCATTGAAGCGTTACCTGTTGGTGCTGTGGGTGCTTTATCTTTGTTTCTCTTACTATGCGCTGCTCCTGTGGCCGCGCTGTGCTCTCCAGTCCGTGCCCCGGGAGCCCTCTGCACCATCTTCCTCTAGGGGCTTCTTCCTCCTTTCTCTCTCATCCCTTGGTTTGGGGTTAACTAAAAGTAGCACAATGAAAACCCTTAATGCATGCCCCTTCCACCAACCCTGGGTTGGAAGGCCATGTGGGCAGACCAGTAAGGCTGCTTTGGTGAGTATGTACTGCAGTGGACCGAATTCAGCTCGGCTCTTATGAGATGGGATGCTGATCACCTTTGCCTAGGAGTCACGAGATAACTGACTGTCATTACCAGCACTGCCTGCTGTTGGTTAGAGTCTGGATGTACTGTGGAAACATCGACAGCAGACTCTGAGCCCTGTCTCAGCATGCTCCTCCTGTACCCTAAAAGATTTGTGTATTGTCTAGCAGCGAACTGTGTCCACCACCTCTCCCCGTTACTTAGGGTCCTTTTTAAGTTCCATTCCTCTTTTCCCACCTATACATCTTGCCTTTCTAACAAGTATTTTTCTTTTGTGACAGATTTTAATGTAGAGTATATCCAGCGAGGTGGCTTAAGAGACCCTCTGATTTTTAAGAATTCCGAAGGACTTGGAATAAAGTAAGTGTCCTGTGATTGGATATGGCTGCAAAATGGCCACGTTACACCCATGGTTACAGATAGTGCGTTATTGATAACCAACCCAAAGGTAATTGAAAATAATTTACCACTTAGTTTTAGAAGTAAGGATTTTTCTTGTTAGAAAAACAATTCATGGTTAATGAAAATAAATTCATAGCTCTTTAAACCTACCATCTTGGGGTAAATAATAACTAGCAAGATTTTGTTGTATATTCTTTTTTCCTATGTAAGTATTTACATATACGATCGCTTGTATTTTAAACTAAATAGGATTAATGTAGCTTAACTGGAGCATTCTTAGCTCTTTAAGAAAAACGTTCTGATGATTAGATAAGCAGTGCTTCCTGTGTGTACTTACTGGTGTCTTTTTCTCAGGATGCCAGACCCGGACTTCACTGTGAATGATGTCAAGATGTGTGTGGGTGAGTACCCAGTCTGTGCCTTGAGCCTTCCAGGCAGAGGCTTAAGACTTCGTTCTATGTCTCTGGCTGAGATTTAAGTGTAGGCACACTGAGGTGTATTTTTGACTGAATTATATACTACTTGAAGTAGTTCTTGATTAAAAAGTACTATTTCAGTATCAACTAAGGATTTTCTCAAAGGGAGTTACAAATTGTTTCAGTTTGTACTTGTTAGACATAAAACATTTGAATCTCTGCTTCTTTTCTTCCTGCCATGCTTCTCTTCTCCACAAAGAGCCTAGGGCAGCCTACCCAGATAAATTAAATTCTATACATTTAAGCCGAGAATGAAGTTTATTTCATATCTGTTATTCTGTGACTTTCCTTAAAAGTAATAGGGAAATTTCCACCACTGCTACATTTGGAATTTGAAATTGTGTAAGATTTGAAATTGTGTAAGAATGGAAATAGATGCAATTAAAATTCTCTTCATCGGTTACTGGTTCATTTGAGTCTTTAATCTGACCTGTATTTTATTGTAATCAAAATTTAGGAAATCAGAACAATCTAAATAAGATTTCTGGGATCAATGAAAGAGCAGCTCAGTTTTCTGTAGATCTGTGGTTGTTCAGTGTAACCTGGAGACACACCATGGTCTTTCAGAATTCAGAGATGTGGGCCCTCCCTGGTGGCGCAGCTGATTACAGCACAGCACTAAGAAGCTAAAGCCACTTCAGCATGAGTTCGATCCCCCCC